GCTACTCTCTGGCCACGTCTCTTCTCTTCAGATGCTGGGTGAAGGATTATATTTGTCATGGTTTTACCCCAGCCAGCAGCTGAGCACCACGCAGCCGCTCATTCACTTCCCCCCCCCCAGTGGGATGGGGAGGAGAATGGGAAGGAAAAGACAAGACCTGGTGGGTTGGTATAAGGACAGTTTACTAGGATAGCAAAGGGAGAGGGGAAGACAAAACAAAACAAAACAGTACTTAACAGAGTATACGAAACTGATGATACAGAATGCAGTTTCTCACCCGAGGACCGTACAACTGAGACCTGTCCCGAAACCGGACTGTCCCCGAGCCATGTGTCCTGGAGCTGCTACTGCCCCTCCCTGGCTAGCCCCCTTTTATGCTGAGCATGATGTCACATGGTATGGAATACCCCCTTTGGCTAGTTTGGGTCACCTGTACTGTCTATGTCCCCTCCCAATTCCTTGTGCACCCCCAGCCGTCCCGCTGGCAGGGCCATGCGAGGAGCAGAAAAGGCCTTGGCCCCGCATAAACACTGCTCAACAACAGGTCCATAGAACAAAAACATCTCTGTATTATCAATGCTGTCTCCAGCACAAATCCAAAACATATCCCCACACTAGCTACTATGAAGAAAAATCAATCCTCTCAGCTGAAACCAGGACAATATTCAATGTCACAAATAAGGACAAAGGTTTCTCAGCAAAACTTAGTCATAGTTACGTATTTTTCATGATCGAATGTATCCATTATTGCTTTCTTGGAATGTGATTTATTCCTTTGTGCATTGCTTCTTTCTGAAAGCCAAAAGACAGTAGGGATTTACGTAGGACTAAGACATAAGACCAGAGACTCAGACTGATTTCAGCTTTCACGTGAACCATCGCTGATGTCAGCCAGACAGTAGCATTTCTATAAAAATCCCAATGTAAATATTTCTTCTAAATCAGGCTCTTTCTCTTCTTTTGCCTTGGCTGGAGTATAACCAAGGGAGCTTATGAAATGCTGCATTGTTTCAAGATTAATTACTATTGAAAGTTGGGGGGGTTGTTGTCTGCCCTGCACACCCTCCCCCTTGGGATAATCTCCTCTCAGTTTTGTTTTTTCCCTCAAATTCTTTCTCCCCAGACAGTGAGTTTCGCAAAGGCCAAACTGTTTTCTTCCCCTAAAAGCGTGTATCATTTGCTAGCCCTCCCTGTCCCATCAGCAGACAAGCCAGGGCGTGTTGATGGAGGGAGATGAATATTTGCCTCTACTAACAGTTGGATTATTCCCACTTTTCAGATGCCATCTGTGTGACAGGGTTTGGTTTGCACTAAATACAGCCTGTGGGCTGAGCTGAGAAAACAGATTGCTGCACCACTACATTAAATAATCATCATTAAATTTTGGTTCATTGGAGAACTTTAGGCTGCCATGGAGGTTTTTTGAGAGGGGAGATGCAGCTCGCTTCCATGTCAGGATGCTGAAATCAGATTTTAATTTAAGTTTTGCTCACGCTCTCTGCTGGCAGCGCTGTCACCTGGGATCTGCAGGACTTCTCACCTGCAGTTTGCAGGCAGGGTGAGGGCAGCTGGCAGGCAGGCAGGGGTAGGAACCCAGCGCTCTGTCCCTGATGCTCCCTGGCTGGGCTAGTGCAGAAAAGGGGCTCTCACTGCCTGTCCCTCTGTCTTTTCTTTCTGTCTTTCCCCAAGTCTTTGATGCTGTGAGCAGTTTTAAACCAGACCAAGAAAATACTCTAAATTCAGCAACATTTTACATTGCAAATCACCAGGCACAGACCTGTGTCCCACCAGTCGTGGCTCTGAAGCATCCACACACATGCAGGATGCAGAAAGGTCCTTCTAATCCCTGCCCCTGCAGAGGAATGGCAGAGCTCCAGAGCCTGTGTGAACAGATGGAGATCCCTGTCCTTCAGCCCTTACAGGTAAAGCGTACAGATGTATTTTATCCTTTTCGTAGCTCGTTACATTTGGGAACAGTACATAAGTCTAGTGTGCTGCTTATAGATTATTTATTTTCATGTACAATAAGGAAAATAACCTGAAGGTTTAATTCACTTCTTACCCAGAATATTTGAAGTTTAACAAAATATTTGTTTGTTTTTTTCCACTAAATATTGCACTTGCTGTGAGTATATCTACACTAGTCTTCTACAAGATCTGTTGGCTTCCATGTATTTCCACACCATGTGAGAGGACTCGGCACACTCATGAGTTCGAGCGACGGCTCTTTCTTGGTCTCCTCCTCCTTGAAAACTGTGATTTCAGCCAGTTGAAGAAGCCGCCTCTTGTTTTTAACTCAAACTCTACAGGGAAGTGGTCGCTCACCCCCAGTGCCTGCAAGTCAATGGCACAGAGGGGTTAGGGGCCGGCTGCCCATGCTCAGTCCAAACCCTGCCCCACGGGATGTCACCGCTGCGGCGGGGAGGTAATATGGGGAGGTGCAATGCGAGCATTGCATCACTTTGGGAGTATATAATGGTTTTACGGACAAGACCATGTTCAAAACTGCATGGATACTGTTGGCTTTGCGCCCCTTTGTTAGCCCTTGCCCCACAGCTGTGGAGGCCATGCTGTGCCTACCTGCTCCTCAGTCATCTGGAAGTCCTTCTGGAAATCAAAGATGTTGGCAGAATGTGGCACAACAGAGTGGATGAGATTCTGCCCACTGACAACAATCCTGCAAAGAGCAAGGTAACAGGGTGCTGTTATGTGGTACCTGACCAGTGGCAACCATGCTGCACTGAGCTGGTGGCCAGAGAGGTGATCTTGATGGGGTCACAGCTACGTATGGTTTGTCCTTTCCCATGGGCTGCCTATTTAGAGATGCCAGCCTGTACTTTCTGCTGTTTGGCTGATTGCTTTCCTTGGGAGTGAGACACTTAAACACCTTGGTGTGTGTTGGCCTTGGAAGCCAACTCATTATCTAAACCACCCCAACAGTTCTGCAAAGTTCAAAGCCATTCTTTGGATACAAAAAATCATAGGACACCAATGACTGGAGTATCAGATCTAGAAGCTTGTACTGCAGGAGGTTTAAGGCTTGACTTACTGTGGGCTCTGATGAGCTGATGTATTTATTGTCCCTGCTGAGGGACCTCTAGGTAGCAGCAGGACTTGCCATGTGCCTGGGGAAGGCGAGGCATCCCATCTCCTGAGTAGAGCTGGATTTTGCATTTGTCAATCCAAATTATGAATGCCAGAGCAAAAACCATGGTGCAAAGCTGGCACGGAGGAGGCAGCAGCGCCTTCCACCTGGATGGCTGCAGGGCTCTGCAGATGAGAAGGGCTGCGTAATTGCCTGTCATTTATCTCTGCTTAAGCTGGAGCAATGGCTGGTGCTTGCATGAAATCTTGTCCTTTCTGCAAAACTGCTTGCCAACAAACCTGCAAAGTGCTTTGTGCTCATGACTAGAAGTATTCAGATCTCGTTTTCCCCTGGACACTGTTTTATCTTTGAAGGCCCCATGCACATTTGCTTTATCTGACAGTCACTGACACCTTTCCATATTTTTTTTCTCAGAAAGTCATAAACAGGGAGCAGTTTGGCAGTAAACCTTTTACCTGTCATACGGGCAGCTTGTGCTTCTCTTCACCGTCGTGTCATTTTTGTCGCCAATTAGCCAGATGAATTCAGAGTAAGTCCTCAGCCGGATGTTCTTCCACTGCTTTTGGGGAACGTAGCTGCATCCAGCATTAAAGTCCCCCATGAAGATGAAGTTCTGGAAGGTAGGAGGGTTTTCAAAAGTAATCATGAGGACAGGTCTTCAAAAGAAGTCCAGCAAGGACTTTTAGGGTCAACAAATGCTCCCAGTAGCCCATACAGCGCCAGTAGTGAGCGTTCATTGAGTGCACTGGGGCTTCTTTCTGCTGGGCACACCATCAAGGTATGCTGATAAAATAGCAGTTTTATTGGGAGATCATGTTTACCAATTAAAATGTGGAGAACTCAGTGAAAATGCGTCAAAGAAAGACTCAAAATCTGGGGCTTGTTTTCAGTGGTTTTAAGGTTATCAGGCTGTGACTAGCAAATAGCGTGCCAGGTGAGTCGGTACCAAAGCCACTGTTAGTAACATAGATGTGTTAACTAACCTCGGTTTTCCAGCGCTGTTTTACGTCTAAATACACGTCATAGAGCTCATCAATCTCCCGTACTGCTGTCTCCGGTGTGGTGTGCAGAGGGATTATAGCAAAATCTTTGACAGCTTAAAAAAAAAGGTAAAAACCCAGGAAAAATGTAATGGTTAAACATACACTGATTCACAAAGAAACAGAGATTGACTTGGAAGCAAGAAGGTTTTTCTGAAGAAGAAACAGCTTCTGTTCTGGCTGTGGATCAGAGGCGTTTGCCGTGTAATTGCACAGAGCTCCCCATCAGCTGCCCAGTCGCTGCTGAGCTGCGACACGATGAGGTGCTGGGTCACGGTAAGGCAAACCCTGCTCTGACACCGATGGCAACAGCTGCTCCTGGGGCTGTGCCGGCGCTATGGAGTACATCCACTAAACCAGTGCCCGTGGCAGCGGCAGAGGCTTTCCTGGGGTTGCAGGGCTGTGGTGTGCACTGAGCTGTGGGCAATGCCGGAGACAGCAGCCCCAAAGGCAAATGCTGCTCTTGTAAGGAAATGCAGTGTGGGGTCAGGATGTGGCCCCTTTCGCCTGCCCCCACCACGCACTCGGGTCCAGCCAGCACCATCTTGTTCTGTGAGAGTCGCCAGTGGAAAAACAATCTGTTTCTAAAACGTCTCACCGGTTTTTGGAGACTGGAACCAGATGGCAAAGGGCTCTCTGGAGAAGGCATCCTCATCCCCGGGCTGGGTGTCAGGGTACTGGTAGGTTTGTTTCACCGATACCAGATGGTGCCTGCAGCACAATAAACAGGATAGGGCATGTTGCGCTCATGGCTCACCAGGATGTGACTTACGCTGACTCTGTGCTCTGATCTGGACTCTGGGCCGTGGTTCGGGACAGATACAGCCAGGCTGGTGGCTGCGCCTGGGACGATCCCCACACCCGGGCACAGCTCATCCCACCTGCACAGCCCGCATCTCTCCAGCTCCCTCGGAGCAAGCCATCACCACCACGTCCAGCCCGTCTCTACAGGGCTGTGATGCAGGAGGGCAGAGTAAGGGGCTGGCTCGCTGGTGAGGGGGGCTCGCTCACCTGTAGATGAAGGCGTACTGCTCCTTGTAGCTCTTCCTTCCCAGCCTCTGGCTGACCACACAGCTGTATTCCTCCTTCGGCCCCTTCAGCTGACTGGAAGGAAAGCGGTGTGCCTGAGTTTATTTCTGCATTCACAAAGGGCCAAAGAGGAGATAATTCTGCCTGTGCCCAGGGGTAGGGGACATTGCCTGCCTGACCTCAGAGGTGGGTGGTTAGAGACAAAAAGCCTTCTCAGGACCTGTGGTCTGGACCTGTGCCCCACCACTGGCTCTTCCACTCTACATCCTCTCTGCTTATTGCAGCCTCTGTCTCTCTTTCAGCTGGGTCTCACGTCCAGCCAGGTGTACGCCGCTCTTTCCCCCGGACCGGCAGTCCAGGCAGGCAATCCCCAATCCGCAGCAATTCCCAGCCCTGCAGAAAGGCCCCTGCCCTGCTGCAGCTGGTGCTAGCCAGGTGAGGGCCTGTCCCTCCCTTCTGTTTTCTTTTGAGAATTAATCTTTAACAAATTGAATCTAAAGTGGTTATTTTTATTTAAAAATATGCATCCTACAGCAGTCTGGAGCTGGCTTTGCTCTTGACCTTCAGTGAGGCTGGCAGAGCCGGGTCCTTCCTCGACGGCTGGGACAGAGCCCAGACCCTGAGCTTTCGCCCCGGTAAGGCAGTGCTGAGCAGAGCGCAGGCTCTTGCCAACCATCTTTCCCAATATTTGCCTACTTGCCCATGGCTACCTTACCTGGTGAGCTTCTCCACCAGGAGAGGACAAACCAGGTTCTTGTTCTCCTTTATTTCCATCAGCAACGTGATGTCGCAGCGAGAAATGATCTGCAAGGGGAAGGAGCAGAAGCAAGTTTGTACATGGTAGGTTTTTAGAAAGAGATTAGAAAGAAGTGGTTACTGGTGTGGGGGAAGTCCTTTGTGGAAGAAGTGGCACCCAGCCTGGGGTCGTGGAAGGGGGCCAGCAGCTGGAGCAAAGCCCTTCTGCTTTCAGACCTGCCTCACGCCCGCACGGGAGCTGGGAGAGGGAACTGGGAAGCAGACCAGTTTCGGATTTATTGAAAAACTTTTGCGCCTGCCCCTGAGGAGGAAGTGTGGAGGGGAAGGGGCAGCAAGAGCTGCTGCTGTGAGCCCGCTCTCCCCCCGCCACTGCTGGGGCGCTGCCCCTGCCCCCTCCACGGTCGGTTGTGCTTTTCTCTCCCCCCCACCCCGCCATATAGGTTTTCTTCTCTGCTTTGGACCGGTGCTACGCACAAGCATCCCAACTCACTGGGTGCCCGGATGGATGTGGCAGAAGGATTGGGGGGGCACTGAGGAGAGTCTCTTCAAATCTATCATCAATCCACTGCAATGGTTCCCATCCTTTTTCTGGTGTACATACCCCTAAGGTCCTATCGCTATGCTGTGCCTTCTGAAAGCTGCGTGTGCTGTCAGCATTCACCTGTCCCGGTCATCTGTTGTAGACCCCTCTGAAATAGCCCATAAAACCCAAAGCAACCCCCAGTCTGAAAACAGGGTCCCGGCACCCCTGGGCTGCAGCACTGCAGAGGAGCCGCAGGGTGCTGGGGAGAGCGGGGGAGGCTGCCCCAGCCTGGCGCAGCTCCCGTGGCTGGTGCTGGGACTCCCCGTGGGAAAGCCCGGCTCACCCCACAGCCCGGCATGCTCAGGGGCTTCCTTCTGCCCTCGGTTTTGTAATTTTTTGAATTTTGTGGATAATATTTCTGGAAAAAAAGCCCCTTGTTGCCCCCTGAAACTTGTAAGAAATTAATATATTGCCCATAGTGCTGACAGTATCGGAAGAAGGATCCAGAAGTGCAAACCCCTCTGCTCCAGCTGTTTGGAACGAAAGGATTAAAGCCCAACTAAAGGGTGGCATTCCTCGCTGCTGCTGTTTGGCACATGCAGCCATCCCGCTAACACCGAGCACCGCATACTGTGGCATCTCAGAGGGCACTTGCAAAAGCTGTAAGTCCAAAACATAGATCTTTTTAAAAGCTGAGTTATCTTCAGCTGCTGCAGAGGAAGCCTGATGGGTTTATTTACATAAATTAGTAATCAGGCTTTTCAATTTTGTACCACACTTTAATATGGTACTCTCTGCTGTCCTGAGAATACATTTAATTAGACAAGAATATTTCAGAATAATTAGTACATAAGCAAGGTAAATAATGGATCACAAAACAAAGCTCTATGGATTCAAAGTGAAAATTATTTTTACTGTGCACTGAGGTTTTCCTCCTTTCCTAACTCCACTTCCAAAGGAAACAGTAAATGTTGTTTCTGTTATATTCCCATATAGGTTAAAATAACAGCAAACACCCTACTCAACCACAGGCTGATTTTTACTTTAACAGTATAAAATTTTCTAAATTAACTTTTTTTTTTTACTTCAAATTCAACTGTGAAAAATAAATGAAGTGGAAGATTATGTAGCTAAGAAATCCTCAGACAGCTCAATGTCTCTCTCAGCCAGGCAAACAAACATACCTTTACCACGGCATCGACGACTTCAGGTCTGGCTATTTTTGTTTCTCCAAAAGATCTCACATTGAAGGAGCAGATTTTTAGGCTCAGAGATGGGTCGAAATTGAAGAGCGAAAGCAAGATGAAGAGCAACATCTTCAGGGACTTGGACAAAATGAGTTGCTGTGAGTGTGGCTATAAATACATATCTGTGTGTGTGTGTTTGTGCATCTGTCCCTCTGTGGCCAGTTGGGAGGTCAAACTGAGCAGTCAGCTGTGTCAGTCATGAACATGAACAGGAATCACCATTTCCTCCTTTCCCTTACTTTCATCTCCCAGCACGAAGCAGCATGGAGACTTTGAACTTCTGCCTTGGGGGAATCCTCTCCAGCCTGGAGAAGCAACTGCTCCACCAGACCCCAGCATCCCTCCCCACAGGGAGGCACCCGCTGTGGGATGCCTGCCATGCCTGGGCACCAGTCAGAACCACCCCAGGCAGTGCTGTGCCAGGATGGGGCTCCCTGGACCACCCCAGGAGAGAGGTCAAGAGCCTGCAGGACCAGGAGGTAGATGGGGCAGATGGTGAAAGGGTCTGGGAAGCGGCAGTGGGGAGAGAAGGGTTTCTGGAGGGCACTGGTGGTGGGCACAAGAAACCCTGGTGAAAGGCAATAGTTGTGGGACACCCTGGACATCGAGGTTTTGATCATAGCCATGTTTTGTTCTGCTTTTGCCTTGGTCAGAAAGTCGTGCCGTGACAAAGTCATAAACTGTCCAGCGCTCCAGATCACGTGCTTTTACCCGCTTCTCCCTTCACCCAGAACTGTGACGTGCCCTGCTGCGGGACGGTTGTTGCAGTCTGTTTGCCCACAGTTAACAGGGCCCGCTGGCTCAGCCGCCGCGGTGCAGCCTTGGGGAAGGTATGTGATGCCCCTAGTGCTGCCCCCCAAACTCCTGGCCAAGTGTCCCCAGCACAGCAGTCTCAGGCTGGTGACCAAGGCTGCATGCGCATGGCTCTGGCTCATGCCACGTGGCGGAAGGGGATACACAAGTTTGGCCAAGATGACACTCGAGTGAGGATGCTGCAGCTGGGATGGTTTTTGCAGGGAAACCATCCCCCTGCCCTCCCTTCCTCCTCCACCATGTGCCAGCCCTCAGCCAGAGATGCATTTGCCAGCCCCCAGTCAGGTACAATGACAGGAGGTATAACAAGAGGTCAGGCTAAATGGTGTCTTCAAGTGTCTTGGCTTTTTCTCTGTGTGCTTACAGGGTGCTTTCACATCCTCTCTCCTTTTCCTGAGAACAGCCATGAAGGCTGCTTGCACCCTGCTGCCCTGCCTGCATGGCTGCCCGTGAAGATCCAGCTCCAGAAGCTCCAGCGCATGGCTCCTGACCCTGCCTAAATCAATTAAACAGAGTCAGATGGAGCTGGCACAAAACACAGCGCCTGGGGGGCTCCCAAAAATGCAGCACGGCTGACCACAGTGAGATCCCAGTCTTGCTGGGGAGACGGCTGTGGCTCTCCAGAGTGCGCACTGTGTGCTTGGGAACAGGGCACCACAAATCCAGTTTGGCTAGACAGGGATCTGGAGCGATTGCTGCTAGCAAGGGCCGTGCTGCCATGCTGCCCTGGTGCATCTAATACACACAGCTGCTGGGGGAGCAGGCATGCGACAGGGGTAGCAGGGCCTTTTCTCTCTGCTGGGTCTCTGATGAGCCAGCCTTGGGCAGGACAGGCTCTGGAGAAAACTCATAAAGAGGGAGGAAAAGTGACAGCTTTAGGGGTTGTAAATGTCCTACCTGACCTTGCTAACAGCACAGCGAGAGCCAAGGGCTACAGCCTCGGGGTCAGAGTCACCAAGACCTGGAGCTCCCCCCAAAACCAGGCTCGCTTTGGCTACCCTGGCGTCAAAAAGCAAATGTTTGTTGTGGCGCCTGTGAGAGCTTTAACCCTGAACTGCGGGGAGCCACCGTCGTCGATGCCGTGTTTGTTCCCAGGACTGCTCACTTATCAGCCTCCCCTTTCCCCTCCACCCCAGGCATTATCAGCAGGGCAGGCAACCCATTTGGGGAGGGACGCATGGAGCTCACACTCCTTTCTGCACCGTTTTATGTCGCTGTTTACTGCACTTTCTGTGTGTGAACTCTTTGGTCCTTATCAAGCCATAAAACCCGCTCCACGATGGCTCACGAACCCTGCCAGTTCAGGGCTGTCCTGGTCTTGCACAAGAAGGGTGAAGGTGCTAGTGAAACCAACTCGGGTTGGATTTTTGCCCCTACTCTGAGTGATGCTGAGTGAGAAGCACCACCTCACCTCCAGCTGAGCAGCACCTGCTGGTCCCTAATAAAGCCCCTCCTCAGCCCCTCCCTGCTCCTAGGGGAGAAGAGGCAGGTGATGAGGCTCCATGCAATGCCAAAGCCAGCTTGGGTAAGAGCTTAGAGGAGCGAGTAGGTGCTGCCCAGGCCCTGCCTGCTCTTCCTGAGGGTCCTTCAGCCAGGCTTTGCTGGCAGCCTGTGCTGGGCGTGTGGGGTTGTGGCTGGTGCGTTGCTACCTCTGGAGCTGTGATTCAGTCCTCTGTTGTCTTTCCGCTCCCAGGAAGGTGCTGGGGGATGGGTGGGGTAGAATGTGTCCCCACATTGTATGCCTGCTTAGGGTCCCCACGGGACAGCAGGGGTGCAAGGGTCTGGCAGCGATGTGGGAGTTCCCCTCTCCTGTCAGACGCAGCCACTTCCTTCCAGCCCTGGCCATCTCACGGGGCGCCCGCAGCTTTGTTTTTGCTGGCAGAGATGGACTGAGAGGATCTCTGACATTTCCTGTGCCTCTCTGGGAGGATTGCAGGGGGGAGACTGCAGGCGAGCCCACATCCCTTTCTGCTCTGCTGGAGGAAGCCTGTTCTGGCCCTGAAGGGCAGCGTGACTCATGGGGTGCTGTGTGGTGGGGAGCACCTCTGGGGCATGAGGTTGTCCTGGGGCTTTGTGTGGCGCCTGAAAACAATGCTGAAGCTTTACTTCTTCTCCTGTGGGAAAAACATGGGGGGTGTATGTGCTGGTCGGGGGTTTAGTGCTGCTGGGGACACCAGTGCTGCTGTGCACCTTCTGCAAGGGGTGCAGAGGCTGGCCTGGCCTGTTGGGGCCCTGGCCTGTCAGGGTGTCCCTGCTGCCCTGTTCAGCACCCCTGTAAGCCTAGCACCCCCATAAGCCTGTCCCCCGTCAAAGGGCAGTGTGGGCAGAGGTGGTGGTGGGGTGTGAGGGGGTGGTGCGGGGACTGGCATCTCCACGCTGGTGCTCCCCAGATGCTACCGCAGCTCTGTTTTCCAGGCAAGGGGCCCACGCACTCCCCTTCCCATGTGCCAGGTTTTAAGGTGTTCGGTGTTTCTTAATTTTTATTACTTTTACCCAAATTGCAGCTCTGTCAGCATCCACCGCAGAGAGAGGAGGTCTGTGGGAGAAGCAGGAAGGGACAGCCCCCAAAGTCGTCAACGTCACCATAAAAGAAGGTTCTTTTGGGCAAATGAAATGACCTTTGGGCTCGCAGTGACCTTATCACAGCCATTGGGCAGAGTATTTTATCGCGGTCTCCTGAGATTTCAAGTTAATAAGTAGCAAAGCACTCGGGGCCATTTTGTATTGCTCAAGTTCACCATTAGGCTGCAGACCAAAAATGGTCATTTGGGAAGTGGCTTCGGTGTTGATCTAATGGTGATAAGTGTCCTGGTGTGATTCTCTGGAAATTCCATATAATTGAGGGTAAAAAATATGTGGTGTGCAAGACACATGGTATGTTTTGAATCAATAGAGTTGTCTTTGATACTTAATCTTTATTTATAATTCTGGAAGGTACATGTTTTACTTAATAAATTACTGTCAGGGCATAATTTCTTTGCTGGTACAGGACTCTGATAGGGGTTTTTTTTTTCAGCTTAATACGTCAGTATTGTTCAAGTTCATGGTTTAAAGTGCGAAAGCCTGCCTGCTAAAGCAGTTCAAGGAAAAATGCCTCATCATGTTGTCAGTTTCTTGAACGAGGCCACTTAGCTGAGATGTAGGAGAGCAGGCAGTAATCTGAAATAAAGGCTTTGACGTATGCCAATTAGACAAGGCTTCGAAGTTATCCCTCCATAAAGATATTGCGGTCACCAAATAAGGAGTTTTTTGTGACAATAAGTACACCCTTATTGTTAGCAGTTAAAGATGCAATTAAAATGTGTGTAATATCTGCATTAACTTTGTGTAGAGTTAAGAAAGTATTATTTAAAGCTGTTTACAGGCAAGCAGGACTTACTTTATAATGTTTTAAAAGTCAGGAGCATTTGTTCCTGTGTTTGTCCCAGGTTGTGCAATGAAGCCACTGAAGAGTGATGGGGTGGCTGCCCAGAGCGGTGCCCGGAGGTGTCATTTACCCCTGTGCTCACTGGGAGCTGCTGTTTGCAAACTGGGGTGAGCTGTGATGTTATCCCTGCCGTGGGGGGTGAATTTTGGCAGCTGGATGTCATTGAAGTTGCCCTCAGCTGGGGGCTTGGCAAGGCATTCCTCACAGCAGGTCCCATGGGTGGGCTGTGGGGCTATCCCGGGTTCGTGGGGCTCCCGCCTGCCCCGGTGGTCTCCCATGCCCACCATCCCCTGGGGATTGCTCATGGCATCGTGCTGCAGGGCCAGCACTGTGTGAGTGGAAATAGATGGGGACAAGTCACCCTGGGAAGATGATTCACTTTGCCAAAGCGTCAAGCTGTCACTTGTTATGGCTGCAAACAATCCTGCTGTGCTCCCTGGGGATTCATCACTCACCAGTGGAAAATAACATGGAAGCCTTTCATCTGGTGGAGCAACGCTGCTCCTCAGCTTGGTGAGGTAGAAGCTTCAGCTCTCCACAGCTACCCTGGCCTAAATCTAACCAGAGCTTCCACCCTCCGTGGAAAACAGATGGTTTATGTGAAAGTCTCACTGCCTCAGTTCTGGGGACATAGGACAGGTAATTCTTGTTATTTTTAATTTATTTATTTGTCCTATGGCTACTCTGATTTAGAAAGGCATTTTGTTTCTAACTGGATCATAAGTCATCCTCTGCCCTGCTCACAGCACCAAAGCTGTGCTCCTGTGCCAGTGGGAAGCCCAGCTCCTGACACTGGCATTAGGAAGGAGGAATTTTCAGCTGAGGGCCA